GTGCCTCGTCTCTCGGCGCGGAAGGTGAAGGTAAGGACCACTCTGCCCTGTTGCCGGCTCCTTGGTGAACAGGGATCTAACAGGCGCTTTCTTCTGTCTCTTACGAAAACCAGCCAGAAGATGCAGTTGCCTCTGAAGACGAGCGGCAAAAGCTGGAGAGAAACGTGAGTGTGTGGGGGTCCGCTGCTGGATCCTTGGGGAAGCAGAGGGGGGATTTATTCTGCCTGGCTGGCACCTCTTGGTGCTAACTTGAATTTTGTGGATGAGCCTTGATTTATTTCACTTTTTTTTTAAGCTGTGCAGTTGAAAAATGAGACTAGAATAGCTCCAGCTCTTGTGGAGGCAAAAGCTGAGAGAGGGCAGCTGTGGTTCCTTCCGTCGGCGCCCCTGGGTGAACAGAGGCAGGAGTTTGGAAGTCAACAAGTGCAGAGGACGCTTGCTTATTTTCTCCTTGCCTTTACTTGAGCAAGCCGGGGGTGATAAAGCACCTGAAACCGAGAGCACTGAGACGTTCCCTGCCTCCTTCCCATCCGCAGCCCCTGCGATACCAGCTTGGCCTCCGCCACCAGCTCCTGCTGGGAATCCGACTCTCAGAGCAAGACTCTCCCTTGGGGGAAAAACACGTGTGCACCTCCACGTGCCCTGTCTCCAGAGCACACACCACTTCTGGTGTGCTACAGGGCACTGGTCACTCCCAGTTCAACCTGGCCTTTCCCCAGTATGCCACTGGTCAGCTGGACTTGTGCCTAGCTGGAGGCTCTCCTCACTTCTTCCCCGTTCACGAATCCCTCTGCTTAGCTCAGCCCTCTGTCTCATCTTCCTCCTCGTTTGTCCCTCAGTTGCTTGGAAACCAGGATCCCATCAAAGCGGAGCTCGAACAACTGAAGAAAACCTACGATTTGCAGCAGCAGAAGCTGGAAGAGAGAGTGTGAGTGTTTGAGGGCACGTCCTTCTGCTTGGCTGGGCGTTCCTGGGGCTCGTTGCAGCGGAATTTGAGCCTCGGGCAGAGGAGAGGAGGCAGCCTGCCTTTGGTGGGGTACAGGGTGGGAAATGATGGTTCACCCTTGGAACAAGTGAGGCCTGGAAGCAAATGTTTCCAAGGCTTTTAAGAGAGTCAGCTGCCGCCTTAAAAGTCGGTGGTGTTGAGGTACCTGACTGGCCTATGCACCTCTGAAAATCCACTTTCTGTGACACACACAGCAAACGTGTGACAGCCCAGAGATGAATCCAGCCCTGGTCCTTACCCCCACAGCGGTTTTTCCATCGACAGGCTCGATGGGGTCGGTGTCCTGGCAAAGGCTGCCACAGCAGGGATGCTGGAGAACCGGACCCTCTGACTGGGGAGAACCTTCACCTTTGGTTGCGAGAGCTCTGTGGCCGCTGGTTGGCACACAGCTGGTGGGGGCTGGCAGCTGCTGCGAAGAGATTTCTGTCCTCCCGTAGTGATTTCCATCTCAAAGCTGGTTGTATTGGACCTACAGAGACGTTTGGGGGGGTTAAAATAAACACACCTTTTTCCTGTGTGCCCAGGATCGCCATGGGGAAGGAGCTGCAGGAGGCGAAGGGAGCGATCGGGGACACCCAGCAGAAGCTGGCGGAGCAGTCGGCGGTAAGGGCAGGCTCCCTTCCAGCCCCCGGCACCCAGGACTGCCCCTGCTCATCGGCTCCTCCTGGGTGCCCTGCGCTTCTCCTGGAGCTAGCAGGGGGTGGATGTCTTGTACTGAGGTACTCCGACACATCTTCCTCTCCAGGGAGTTTGTCCTACCAAGGTGCTCCTCCCTGCACAGTTTCCTTCCCCGGGGTTGCGATGCACGTGGTGGAAGGTGCTGCTTGCACAGGTGGTGGGAGGAATTTTATTCACTGATATTTAGAAAGGGTTGGTGAAATCACTGGGCGGGGGGGGATTGCAAATGACAGAAGGTAGCAGGGGAATAGAGACTATAACCATTTCCAGTGGGCTCTGGTGAAAACCCAGGACCTTCCCAGCTCTAGTGAAGCTGAATATCTGGAAATGAAGTCCCCCATCTCTTAGGGAGCTTCTTAGTGCCCCTCGCTTGGCCGGGGGACGAGGGCAGCAGCGAGCATGTTTGCTGTGCCTAGGTGCTGCTCACCTCCCAGAGCCAGCTCCAAGAGGTGGAGGCGGAGAACTCCCGGCTGCAGCTCCGGCTGAAGGAGCTGAACGAGGACTATCGCTCCCGGCTCGCGCAGTACGTCAAGGACGTGGCGGTGGGTACCCCCAGCCGCAGGGGCTCTCCTGGCCTTGGGAGGTCTCTCCATGCTGGCTGCCTACTTCTTGCAGGCTGCTGCTGGTTCCCCTCCTTGCTGGGCTGCGGAGCAGAGCGGGCGGTGGGGCTTGGGGAACCACGCTTGCAACTGGAAGGGGGCTCTGCCCCCTCGGCTTGGCCTGGGGGAGGAGATGCCAGCCCCGCTCCTCGCCCAGATTTCCTGTATGGCCATGCTAAAGGGTCTGTGAGTTTCTGCTGGGACTTTCTTTCTCGGTCAGATGACTTGGATGGAAAGATCCTATTTACAATGGCTGCCTTCCAGTTGGCTTCTAATCTCCATTGCCCTGACAACTTCCCTCGGCGGGCCAGGCGATGCCGCTTCTGGCTTGGTCGCCGCCTCCGACTTGGTCGCCGCCTCCGACTGCCGCTGTCCCCGTGGGGAGCTCTGCCAGCCCCCGCCGTCAGCTACAAAGCCGTGTAACGCTCGCGCCAGGGACCCGCTCTGGCAACGAGCACCTTTGATGTAGAATAGGGCCCCCAGAGCATGGCGAGGACTCGGCACAAGGCAGGCGTTTCAGGCAGGTTCAGGCACTGATACCCGATTATACTCCGCTGTCAGACTGGGAAGAAATCTCCTTCTACCCCCTTGGTGTAGCAGTAAGCAGGTTTTGGCAAGAGCTTCTGTGCTGGGAGGAGGCCAGTACCGAAGAACACGGTGTAGTGATGGATTAGGAGACTAAGCAAAGCAATTTTTACTATTAAGAATAGTTTAATTTCTAACAGAGCGATGTTGAAGCATCTCCTAGCTAGCAGAGAGAGCGGGGCGCGGTGGAAAGAATATGAGAATAGAGATGGTAACTCCCAACGCCGACTCATGTTTCCCTGGTCAGAGATCTTCTCTTTCTTGAAGGGCCATGATGGAAGCTAATTAGTCTTTCCAGCTCTTAGGAAATGAGAGATATGCCCTAATCTCTGTGCTGTTAGCACAAATATTCCTGGACCTTCTCTGCGGGAAATGGGTTACATGCCTTAGGGAACGACTTGATCACCTCCATTTCTTTCTCTGTGTGTTTAAAGGACTACATGGACAGCAAATCCAGCAACGTAAGGGGGCCTGGCAAAGCCCCAGCTGATCAGGCCCACATGAAACGCTTTGTGGACAGCATGCTGAAGGATATCAGGGCTTCCTACAAGTCTCGGGAAGAGCAGCTAGCTGGAGCGGCACGTGGCTACAAGAAACGCATGAAGAACTTGGTCAAGAAGCATGAGAACCTGCTGATTGCTTACGGGTAGGGCTGAGCCAGGGTCTGGGCTGCCTCTGTCTCTTCGGCTAATTGCTAAGGAGCAACTGGAACTGCTCCAGAGCACCCAGACCCCTTGCTGGGAGGGAGGCGAGGGGCTCCCAGGTGGAGCAGGGGATCTGGAGTGCATATTTATCTCCTTGCTCTTGACAAGCCAGGAGCGAGATGTCTCCAGCTACACATCAGGGTGCTCTGGTCACCCCAGAGCTGCTTGCACATACACTTCTCCTGTGTAAAATTTAGAGCGAGAGATTGATTCCACGTTGGACGGGGTGGAAATGCAGAGGTACCACAAATAACTCCTGCCTCCCAGCCCATCTCTGCAGTGTTCTCAGCTCTGCTCCACAGTTCTCTCAGCAGCTTGGGCTGTGGGAAGCAGCAGAAATTCTTGTGGCATAAAAGCTACAAATAGCTCTAGGACATGCTCCCCTCAGAAACACTCCCAGGAATATCGTGCGTACTGCTGGGCTCTCCCACTTATCCTTTGCAGGTGGACTGGCTCTTGGTGGCCAGAAGCCAGCAGGTCCCAAGGCCATGGAGGGGCTGGAGCGTGGCCAGAGCAGGGCAGCGAGGCTGGGGCAGGGGCTGGAGCCCAAGGCTGGGGAGGAGCGGCTGGGGGAGCTGGGGGGGCTCAGCCTGGAGAAGAGGAGGCTGAGGGGAGC